AAAAAATAATGTCAATTTTTACCAGACGTGGACCGATGTGGATTCGATATCGATATTTTTGGAATTAATCACTAACATTTCCTCGTTTCTCTGCTCTGTCAAAAGGAGTTACCTAGGCTTTTTTGCACGTAACTGTCTCATTAAAATAAAAATAAAAATATTACATCTAGAACAAGCACCCAAAACACGTAACAAGAAGTCCCAGTTCAGTTGCTTTCACGATACAAGTGTAATACAGCTATTAGATTTGAAGTGTCGTTCAGAATGTAATAATAGTTAATACTAGTTGTATGTTCACACTTTACTATCAAAACCACCATTTCGACCACCCATGTGCCAGTTTTCAGTGTTTGGGCAAGCGGTCAATGTTTTCAATGAGCGAGCGAGCGAAAAAAAAAACGCGATTAAAATGCAGTCGGTTTCCGGTCGGACAAGACCACATGGTCGGAAATTAAGCGATAAGCGGTCGATGTAAAAGCGGAAGGTTGGGCGAAATGAGTACTGTATGACCATGTTTCTCCGACGAAGTCTCGACTGACAATAATGCTGACAATGGACGTTAGATAAACACGCATTGTTTGCAACTGGAAGCTTATCACCCGTTATATCAGAATCGTCAACAACAGAGTATACAGATAAGATGTTATCATTTAATTCCTTCCAAAGATAAACATTATGCAAATATCCACGAAACGGCAGTTGTAGTCTTTTCTGCTAGTGTTTTAAAACACTAATTTGAGCAACGTTATTTCGCAATTTCGATCTTTTGTAAACCTGGGGTGATGTATCAAGGTCTAGGGTAACCGTTTTATCAATTTTTGAAAAATCAAGAAAAAAGTGAAAATTTCCCTTCTCGCTACCTTAAATTTGGTACTAGTATCTGGAATAAACAGGAAACACGGCAGCTAAAATACGTTTAATACAGCCTATTCGCTCAAGTTATTGTCATGCAAAATTACCATTTTGTAACTATTCAAATGTGGTGATATCTATTAAAACTCCTAGGAAGAATCACAGATTCTCTTTATCTATCATAGACGGACTATGGAAGAATCTAAACCTACCAGGAAAACGTCACCGTACCGCGATCGCTTCTACGATTTTTATCTTTAGTGTCTTTAAAAAGTTTCCGTTCAGTCGTTCTTTCAAGTTTTTGTCGCATAATTTCGTACGCCATTTTTTGTTTCCCATCGAGCTATCAATCTATCGCAATGATTCGTTACTATACACTAGGTTGCGTAGTGTCTTTAAAAAGTTTCCGTTCAGTCGTTCTTTCAAGTTTTTGTCGCATAATTTCGTACGCCATTTTTTGTTTCCCATCGAGCTATCAATCTATCGCAATGATTCGTTACTATACACTAGGCTGCGTACCTCTTATTCAAGCGGGAAATTGCGTGAAATTATGAAAGATGTTGTCTCCGCCATAATTGAAATGAGAGGTTACTCGAAGAAGACGATTGAGGGCGTGATTTCGGCTCCGATAGTTGGACCCCGATGCGTTTACACGTTTGGAGCCATGCCGGGACTCAACCCTATCGGAGTTCAACCCCGAGGGTTTAGTGGGGCCGAACTTGGCTCGAGCCGGCTCGAGCCGAACGCGTTCACACGGCCATTTTTGCTGGCTCGAGCCTTTGGGCTCCGATGAAGTGCTGTCGTGTGAACGTGTCTGAGGCCTAACTGAACCACAATATATTAACGCTTCTGGGAATTACTGTTATTAGCTTTTAAATAAACCACGAAGGTTTCTGTAAACACATGCTATGCAAGTGATTAACAACACTCATTATCATAGCCACGCCTCCAATAAACAGTCGCTCACGGCCTATAACTTATTCCAGCGGTTTTACATAGCTGCTATTCTACACTGGTCCGGGAATATGAATTCATGTTCCCAGGCCACGGGGCATATAATTGTACATTCATAGAAGTGTGTAACAATCATGTTATGTTTTTTTTCTAATATTCTCAACGCAAATGAATTTCTTTCTTTCAGTAACCATGACGACGGATCAAAACAAATTAACAAACATTCGAGGTAACATTTTTTAAAGCCAAAGCTTTTTACCCTCAGTTTCCTTCGTTTCTTCTCTAGCCCTATTTCACTGTGCTACTAGTACTGTGCACCCGCCATGGGTCGGTCAATGTGTTCTTGGATCAAACCACGTGATATAGTGAATCAATAAATGACCCACCCATCGATAAATAATTCTGAATTTAATATCGTGATACTCAGAGATCACATCGATCCAAAAATTATGTGGTCAATCCTTAATCCTTAATCCTTAGTAGTTGTAGGTGCAGACTTAATCTAACTCTAAGCACATATGTGCAGACTTAATCTAACTCTAAGCACTTAGCTATACACTTAATCCAACTCCAGGCACCTAGGCACAGGCTTAATCCAACTCCAGGCACCTATGTAGATTTACTCCAACTCTGAGCTGTAGATTTTTCTAATCGTGCAGCTTCTTTAGCTCGGGCTTTGTTCACCTGGGGAGCCCGGAGAAAAGGTGATCATCGCGGTGATTTAGTAAATAAATTTACACATGATATTTTTGTGGAAAGAAATGTTTACTTCAACAAACTTGAATCCTATAAGCACCCGAAATGGCAGCTTTCTCTTCTTGGCTGAGGTGTTATTTCACATCCGGGACCTACACGGGTGTACTTTACGTATTTTATACCTTTTGCTGTTGCATCCCTCTTCTTTATACAGTTCTTCAGTTCTCGATAATATTCGGAAAGTTATTTTTGTTTTATTTTTTGTTAAGGTAGAAGCCTAGTCATAATTTTTGACAAAATTGGTCACAAATCGCATGACAATGTTCATTAGTTTATTATGTACAAACATGAAGCTAATGTCTCATGATACAATGAAATAGCATTATTTTGTGTGTTACAGTTATTCTTTTTGAGAAACGTGTCCTAATATTTCTTGAAAATTGCTATTTTTAGAACAATTCCATAGAACACAATGTTAAAGAACAAAATGCATTTTTTGACACCTTTCAAAACCCAGATTTTTTAAATAATTCAGAACAATATAAGGTACTCCATCATTAACAATATATGATTTCTTCAGCCTATGCTAAATGTTGAGATATTGCATAATATCTCTGCCATAGAAACCTATGGTAAAAGTGTTATAATGGCGACTTTCCACTAAAATACAACCATCAATTTCTCGAAAAAAAGGCTGGTGACCCCCAACTTTTTTTAGGTCAATAACCTTATATTGCCTTGGAGTACATTTTATTACAAAATGAATAAATTCTGGGTTTTTTAATTTATGAGTAGGCTTCTACCTTAAAGCCTCATACATTTTTTTGAAAGTTTTGCTACACGTTGAGTATATGACAAACACGAAACGAAGCGCTCGTATGACGTCAAGTATAGAAATAACAACATTGCTGTCGGGTGTGTAATTTTTGCTATTTTTGTCCATAGACGGATGTCAACAGATCAACGCACACGATGTGAACGGTCTTCCTTTCCGTCACACGAGCACGTCGTCGCAAGAGGGCGCTGATTATCGTAATGGTTTATCACTGGCCATTTCAATATTGAGTAACATTCACATATATACCACACATATGCTCACACTTTTTATTTATTTAACCATTTTAGTAGTTACCCTCCGATGACAACAATGCCTGCCAGACTGTGTGAATCATTCGATTCGGACAATGTGAATTTGTGGAACGAACCTTTCGACCCAAGTCACACAGAATGCGATGAAGATATGGAGTTATCTAACATTATCCGGAAACGAGATGACGCACATCCGGGATCACCGGTACGTATGTTGAGGGCACGTGTTCGTTAAAGCGCTACAGTCGTCGACTGGACTCCATGTCCCAGGGTATAAAAGCGTAAACGAGGGATGGACGCGAAAGTCACATGACGTTCGGGTTCACCCCTCGTTTACGCAATTTATATTTATTTTTCAAGAGTTTTTCATCGGAATCGCAACAGACTGCAATCCAGTCTAGGACGGGGTGAGATTTGCTTTACTTCCATTTGAGTTAACAGCTTTTTAGTTCTTAGCCCTTTAAAGTAGTGTATCGATATTGGCAGATACACACCACGCGAGATTTTAGTAAATGGCCCGATATTTGAGGTTTTTTTGTCGCGGAAACTTTGTAGGTAGAAATGATCGATACCACCGTCTACACGTGCTCTTATCGCGTGCATAATTATCTCGTAATCCCACCATGCACTACAAAAATTAACGAAGTTTTTGTTCTTATATCGAATACTAGGAATGGATGCAATATGATCTTGAAATCAATTCTATTAGACAGCAGAGACGCGACATCGAAGAACGATGGAAAACAGTTTTACGGGGTTTAGGTCAGTAAATAGTTTTGTTTTGTTTTAGCCACCACCACCACTGTATCTCGACTAATATTAGAGCTACGCTTACTTACACGAGTGCTGGTAAACACTGTATGTATAGTATGTTTTAAGCGCATGCGCGTTTACGCAGTTCATTATTTTAACCAATAAATTGAAACAAACGCTATTTTGTACGAGGGTTACGAAATAGTTCAGCGTGTACTATCAACAGACAACATCACATTCTGAAACTTTTGCAGCATCCGCAGTGGCATGGAAGGTAGAAGGTCTGCTTCCATGCTAGCAGTATAAAACCTAAAAAGCACTAATACGCATGTGCAAAACAATCGGCGCATTGCATTGTGTTATCAAGCAAACAATTAGGTGCTATAACAGCGTTGTTAGTTTCTCACTCATATTGCATCTTAAAAAAAATTTATGCAGCATTGTGTCGATCTGCTCATTGTAAATAAAACAATTACAGACCCATTACAACTACCCAGGTATCACATTTACACTGTAATTCCAGGTTTCGTCGACGAGGTGGAGACCGGTATACTGAGCCCGATATCGACGTACAGCAAACAACATTCCACAATATCAAAATCAGTGCAAGCACGTGACCTATACGGGCGTCTTGTCAAGGAATCGGCGATGTTTTCAGGGTGTCGGTGGCAGGGACAGTCGCAACGATACCTAATAATCATTGTGAGTATATGCGCTTGAGTGATTGGGATATTACGGCAGTGCATTCTCTTGTTCTGTGTACAAATATGTAGAGGAAACTAGAGGAAATAAAAGACTTCAGCATGAGAAGAATATTAACAAAATTCAGAATAAGTGACCATAATCTAGAAATTGAATTAGGACGAAGAAGGAAGCCAAAAGTGGAAGAAAAACTTAGAATATGTACATAATGTAATGATAAAAAGTTGAAAATGAAATCCACGTTATTTTGGACTGTGAGCGCTATAAGAAAGAACAAAAATTGCTGTTTATAGAATGTAATAAATAAACAGGATAGAATAAACAATTTTATAAACATATGCAACAACAGTTTTCCTCTTAAATACCTTAAATAAAATACAAAAAGTAACATTTAACAACATTTGATTTTTTTATAATCTTTTCTTTATAGTATTATTATTGTGAATTTCTCTTTATTGTAGTATTTGTCTTACCATACATTACCCACAGATGGTAATTGTCGAGTTATAAAGTTATTATATAATAGTTAAAGGGAACCTCAATCCAAACAACATAATGACCCCTAAAGAAAAAGCTCCACAAATGTAGGAGAATGCAATTTACAGTTTTGTTGTATCACTTTTCATTCTCTAGATATTCC